CTTTAAAATAAGCTTATTTTGATGTTTAGATTTTTAATTCGGAAATCGTACTTAAAATACGAAACATTAATAAATTTTATTTATATAAAACGATTTCCGAAGTGGAAATCAAAATGTTATATTACACTTATTGTAAAGTAAACTTGTGGCATATTCCCAATAAAAAATCAGTAAGCTGTCATTTAAATCAATTTCGCCCAAATTGGATTATCTTAGAACATTGTTCAAATACAAAAAAAACAACAGGTCAAATAAATCCAATAAGTTTGGCAACGTTGAACTTCCCCTTTTTTATTATTTCCACGTATGCATGTTTGGCGATATAAAGGGCGGACCTAATATACCTCTCTCTTTCTAAACAGCTGTTTCTCACTCCATCTCACGTAAGGTCCATATCGACCATAAACTTTTTCCTACACTGTATATACAGATGAATATTGAAAATTCCATGGGTACACAGAGTTTCTAATGTTGAGGTGCTTCGTCGCATGTGTAAACAAAAAGAATTACTAAGAATAATCAAAGAGAGGAAAATGCATTACTTGGGTCATGTGTTGGAGGCGAAAAATATGAATTACTTCAAGTTATACTGGAAAGAAAAGTACAGGGCAAAATATCAGTAGGAAGACGCCAAAACTCGTGTCTGAACGGCCTGAGAAGATGATTCGACCGCTCATCCGCAGAAATCTTTCGCGCAGCAGTTTCCAAACAATTGCTATTTGTATCGCCAACCTTCGAAAGGATACGGCGCCATGAGAAGAAGAAGATTGGTCTGCTACTCATTGTTCAGATATTTGAATTTCTGGGTACCCTTTGAAAATTCGGCATACAGTTGTTGTCGATAGCTGATCGTTTCTTGATCGAGGTTTGTCACCATCATAAAAGCGCAAAATATTTTCATTCATAGACGCATGAGGGTGAATGTTGTGCATTAGAAATTATAGTTATTGAAACTATTTTAGTAACAGTGTATAGAACCGGAAATGGGAATTTTAAAGTTTTTCTAGAGCTATTTGAAAATCTATTTTCTACTTTTGGCTTAACCATAAATATTATTGAATTTACTAGAATCACAACTAGATCAGCAACTTGTTTAGATAACATCTTAACAAACATAAGCAGTGAGATAGTTGGTTGTGGAATTGTGGACCCATGTATTTCTGATCATCTTGCTCAATTTCTCTACTTAAAAATAAAATCTGAAAAAATCATAGTGCTAATACATACAGAAGACATAGTTATAACAAGTAATGGCTGATGTTAAAATAGTCGTTAAACAACGTTGACTGGGCTTCAGTTGTTTCTCTCAAAACAGCAACAGAATTAGTTTAACTTATTACTGAAATGTATGTAAAGTTAACTGAAATTAATTTTCCATTAAAAAAATCACGAACTCACGAATAGTAAAGCTCCAATTTCTTGGTTTGATGATAAACTTATAGTAATGCGAGAAAATCTTTCCACAGTCAAGATAATTGCTGATGTTTCAAAGGAATATAGTGAGTATAAAAAAGAAGCACTATAAATCAACAATATCCTTAAAGAAAAAACTGGCTTATGAGAATTTCTTTTCCAATTAAGAAAATATATCTCGTGATAGTTGGAAAGTTATAAATTATCATAGAAATAAATTTTAAAATAAAAAACTGTCCAAGCGCGATTACATCAAACGATTTCAATAATTACTTGCCTTTAGTGGCTAAACATATTAGAAGTTCTTTTAATTCTACAAATAAAAATGTAGTAATACATTTTTTGAAAGATGTACACTCTCCTTGCGACTCTTTATTTTTAAGACCTATTAGTGATACTGAAATCAGGAATTTTTTGCATCGATTGAAAAATTCACACTTCACGGATTTGTATTTCTTAAACAAACAAATAATTGTGGAAACAATCGATATAATTATTGACAAATTATTTATAATTTATAGTAATTGTCTTACTGAAGGGATTTTCCCAGATGTATTAAAAGTAACAAAAGTGCTACCAGTGTTTAAAAAGGGAGCTGTATCAGCTTCAAAAATAATTCCCATTTTCGACAAAATTTTTGAGAGTATTCTAAATTTTCGTTTGGTAGAAAATCTAGAAAAACACAAACTTCACTGTAATCAATATGGCTTTAGAAAAAAGTGTAGCACTACACTAGCTATATAGAAAATTGTGAGAGATATATTTGATGGCTTGGAGGAAGGTCATTTTGTGTCTTTGTCATTGTGTGACTTTATAAACTTTTGACTGTGTTTCGCATGAATTACTGTTGGAAAAATGCATAAGTACGGTATTAGGAGAAACACTCTTAATATATTTAGATCATACCTAACAAATATAAAACAGGCAGTTTTTCTTAATAACAGCTATTCTGAGTTTAACACTGTCGAATATGGTGTACCTTAATGTTCGATATTAGGACCTACTTTGTTTCTTATTTATCTGAACGATTTATTTCACTACACTTTTCCTATACAATATGTTTACTTCGCAGGTGATACAACTCTCATAAATACTGATATTAATCAAAATAATTTAAAATTTAAAATAGATAGTGATACCCAGAAAGCAAAAAACTGGTTTGCACTGGTTTGGCTAAAGCTAAATGAAGAGAAAAATCAGAATTTGATTTTTAGTTTCGATTGGAAATATATCTCAAGAAATAGTGTTCGGACTACTTAAGTTCTAGACTTGCTGCTTGTTAAAACAAAACTATTTTTGTATATTGATTAAATAAATTTTATTCTATTCTATACTATTCTATTCTATTATTCTATTCTATTCTATTCTATTCTATTCTATTCTATTCTATTCTATTCTATTCTATTCTATTCTATTCTATTCTATTCTATTCTATTCTATTCTATTATATTCTATTCTATCCTATTCTATTCTATTCTATTCTATTCTATTCTATTCTATTCTATTCTATTCTATTCTATTCTATTCTATTCTATTCTATTCTATTCTATTCTATTCTATTCTATTCTATTCTATTCTATTATATTCTATTATATTCTATTCTATTCAGTACAGACATGCCCTGACGATCCCCTGGCAGCGACCAGGGAATGAGCCATGAACTTGTATAATCATAAACTCGGAAATCGAAACGTCATTTTTTTTAGGTAAAAATGTATTTGTCATTACAATAAATTGTGGCTTATTCCCATATAAACATAGTATTTAACTTGCCACAAGAAAACAGTTTCAGAACCTTAATAATAATTTTTAAAACCATTAGATCATTGATAGTCAAAATATTAGTAATATTTTTAATGATTATTTTTCTAATGTGGGTGTACGCTTGCTAAAAATATTAAAATATCCTCTTCTCCTGATTCTCCAAAAAATACATGTTATAGTACGTTTTTTCTAAAACCAGTAACGAAATCAGAAGTTCAGAGTATTATTCATTCCCTAAAACCAAAAAAATCTCATGGTATAGACATTTTCGCCGATCTGTTAAAGATAATTTGTAATTATGTTGTTGATCCGATAACTAATTTAATAAATAAAATATTTGAACATGGTACATGTCCTGACCTTTTTGAAAAAGCTGTAATTATACCTATATTTAAAAAAGGTGATAACAAAATTGGTGCATAATTATCGTCCTATATCACTTATTACCAGCCTTGCAAAAATGTTTGAAAAGGCGTTAGCCGAACGAGTAAGTTAATATCTTACAAAGTTTAACTTGCTGTCTCCAAACCAATTTGGTTTTAAGAAGGGATATTCCACTTTCGATACTATAACGTCCGCTACTGATTATTTATATAAGATGCTAGATAATGGCTCTCCTACTTTAGCGATATTTTTGGATCTGGCTAAGGCATTTGGCACTGTTAGTCATCAGCAGTTGTTAAATGCTTTGGATGATTTTAAAATATGAGGCATACCGTACTTACTATTTCAAAGTTATTATAAAGTAGATCCCAAATTGTCAAAATTAATAACAAAGTAACAAGAAACATATATGATAATATAATTAATGAATTAAACAACAGTGCACTGTACATATATGTATTTTAAAATTATATCCATAAAGGCTAGTCATATAAGTTATCAATTATCTTCGTTCAAATTCTTGCAAGTGTCTTTGTTTCTTGGCCACGTACTCTTTGGTTAATATAGCTGTTCATCTACTTGCTGTTAGAATGATTTTTTGATTTCCCGGACACTTTTTCACTTCCCTGGCATGTTTATATCAGTCTACTGCCAATATAAACTTCCATTAAACTTTTGCGTAATAAAAGATTATCTAATTATATGTCTAAGATTCTTCTTCAACTTTTTGTAGATCTTTCGATCTGTTTAATTCTGAAGCTGTCTCTGGTTAATTTCTTGGGAGGTAGATTGCCAACTATCCCTCCATCTTTTAGGTGGTCTTCCGGGGGGTCTTTAACCGGGCGGATTGTTTTCTAGGGCAATTTTTTGGAGTCTATTCTCATCCATTCGTCTTACATGGTTGTACCACATCCTCTTGCGCTGCCTTCCCCATCTTACAATATCTTGAATTTTGCACTGCTCTCTAATGTTTGTATTTCTCGCCCTGTCTCTTCTTGTTTTCCCCATTATTGTTCTTAGGGTTTTCATTTCGGCAACCCTTAGCATCTGTTTCGTTTTGTTAGTATCTTCGCGCACTTCTATGCCATATGTCATGATCGGTCGTATGCAAGTCTTATAGATTCTAATTTTACTATCTGTGCGCATATACGGATTTGACCAGACTATCTCCCGCAGACATCCTGACAGTGCAGATGCTTTGTTGATCTGACTCATCAGGTCCTTTACTGGGTCGTGGGTGCTTGATATATCTATGTCTAAGATTATTGTCTAAGATTATTGTCTAAGATTATTGTCTCAGATTATTGTGTAAGATGTCTAAGATTATTATATAATAATGTAAAATTAATCTAGTTCTAGTATAGGATAGATTTTATAGTTCTAGTATAGGATAAATTCTCTTTTTGAAATTTGTATAATATAACATTTTCTTTTTTAAGGTGGCGTGTTTGGCTTCTGTTGGTAGGGTTGAAAATGTCATTCCAATACTGAAAGGCGTATTGAGCGAAGACACACCGGGGAATCAGAAGCACACTTTTAATAAAGATACGTTAGAGAAAGTTAAAGAAGCTGTTACCGCATTTGATAATCCAGAATTTGCAGTGGAATTTAACAGAATCGAACAGATACTTCAGAAACAAGGGCATATTGTCGATCAGGTTAGTATATCTGCTTTTTTAAATATTTTACGTTTGAACCTTTAAAATATGAATATTTTGTTGCCTGCTAATTATATCGTAGATTTACCTTCATATCTAACAATTAAATATTAAATGAAGAGACTGATATGTTTTTGTACACACTTAATAACAAATGAAAGAATGAAAAAAGAAAAGTATTTTTAAAGAGTATAAATATGTATTTCCTAGCTGAGCGGTTTTATCTTATAAAGCTATCTTCAGAGATATGCTACAATAGAACAATGATATAAATATCCAATTTAGACAATGTTTTACTTACGTCACCTACTTTTATTACCTACCCGATTAACTACCTACCTACCAACGATTACCTACTCACCATTGGAAAATATAGCCTCCATAACGAGTCGAACAACAATGGAACACGCTTAATACACCTTGCGGCTTCAATGAATATGGTGATAGCCAGCACATGCTTCGAGCGTAAAAATGTACACAAATGCACTTGGGTTACCCCAGACGGTAACTCAATCAATCAAATTGACCCTGTAGTTGTGGACGCAAGACATTACAGTGATGTTAGGGCGAGCGCCCACCAAAGTGGCGTGGCAGTGGCAAGTAGCAAGTAGCACGCGTCTAGCATAATGTAACCAATGAAAACGAATGATTCAGTTTACACCAAAATGACAGTAACGTCATTCATTCTAATCATTCGTTAGGATTGGTTACATTATGCTAGACGCGTGCTACTTGCTACTTGCCACTGCCACGCCACTTTGGTGGGCGCTCGCCCTTATGAATATATGTACTAGACGTGGAGCAAACATTAACTCCGATCTATAGCTGGTCCAGGCTAAACTAAGGGCATGAATCTCTAACGCAAAAAAATGTAAAGGAAGCAAAGAAGCTAAATTCGAGATGAACAGACTACGAAACCTCTTAGAAAATTTGAACACAAACTTAAAGAAAAACTAGAAGACCAAATGAGTAGTACTGTTGAAAACATAGATAATTACTGGAATGAGTGCGAAAATATCGTAAAAGAAGTAGCCACAACAGTTGTAGGAAAGAAGAAACAAGAAAGGAAGGGTACAGAATGGTATGATGCGGAATGCGCACAGGCAACTCAAAAAAAGAATCAGGCGTATGGGAAACTCCAAAACAGAAGGACAAGACAAAAATCAAAATCAAGTTTAAACCTAGAATAACCATAATAAAAAGTAAGGAAGCCGAAATTATCAATGAGCCGGATCAAATAGTGGAGAGATGGACGGAGAATTTTGCTGAGAAATTAAATATAGGCAACCAAGAAGTGACTGACATAAATGACCACAGTGGAGACGTAAACGATGAGAGGGAGAAAAATATTATACCAACAGAAGAAGTTGCCAACGCAATAAAAATGTTAAAAAACAACAAATCCCCCGGAGAAGATGGCATACCCCCTGAGCTGTTCAAGTATGGAGCAAACGTCCTAAAAAAATACATAATAAAACTTGTTGCATCCATTTGGAGAGCAGGAAAACTCCCAGACAGTTGGAATGTAGGTATTATAATACCTATTCACAAGAAAGGGGATCCACTAATATGTGACAACTATCGAGGCATTACCCTTCTAAATACGGCTAACAAAGTACTGGCTTATATACTTTATGATCGATTACTAGTATATACTGAAGAAAAAATAGGCAAATACCAAGGTGGATTCCGTAAAAAAAGGTCAACAATTCATCAGATTTTCCTTCTCAGACAAACCTTAGAAAAGACATATGAATATGGAATTGGCACCCATCACCTCTTCATATATTTTAAAAGTGCTTATGACAGTGTAGACAGAAGCGCACTTTATAATGCCACGGCAGAACTAGATTCTTCGTCGCATTAGTAAAAGTACGCAATAACATTGTTAAAGGCAACTCTTTCGAAAGTTGAGTGCAAAGTCAATGTAGAAAACAGAGTGTCGAGGTCTTTTCAAACACATACTGGATTACGCCAGGGAGACAGTCTATCGCGTCTATTGTTTAACATTGCGCTAGAAAGAGCCATAGAGAAGCCGGGCATAACAACCAGAGGTACGATTATCAATAGAAGTGTACAGATATTGGCCTGCGCAGATGACATTGACATAGTAACACGGACAAAACGAGACCTGATACAGGCTTTTGAAACATTAGAAAAAGCCGCGAAGACAATGGGACTGCAGGTTAAAGTATCCAAAACAAAATACATGAAGGTCACTAACAGCACACAAATAGCGGCACCACAAGCTCTGGTGACAGAAGCACACACATTCAAAGGGGTCTCGGAGTTTATATATCTTGAACACAATTAAATAACAGCAACCTAGTAAGCGTAGAAATTAAGAGAACAATATACCTGGCGAACAGAGCTTACTTTGGATTAAAGCAGTTCTTAACATCACACATAATTAGCGGAAAAATCAAGATACTAATATATGAAACTCTTATTAAACCTGTCCTGACATACGCGTCAGAGACATGGACTATGATAAAAAGCGACGAAGAACTGTTAGGCCGCTTTGAAAGACAAATACTTAGACACATATACGGAAGAGTACAAGACAGCGGGATATGGCGCAGGCGCTACAATTTTGAGTTGTATCAATGCTATAAAAAATGCAACATCGTCCGGTCTATTAAAATTAATAGACTAAGGTGGCTAGGACACCTTGAAAGAATAGACACTGGAGACCCCCAAAGACAGATATTCTATCAAGAGCCAGTAGGAACCAGGAAGAGAGGCAGACCAAGATTCAAAACTCAAATCTAAGATGACTTGAGGAATCTAGGGATCAGAAATTGGAAAGCCAGGGCGAAGGATAGGGGGGAATGGAGACTAAATTTTGAACAGGTCGATACCCACTCAGGATTGTAGAGCCAAAGATGGTTCACTTACGTCAAGTATTTAAAGTATCCGTACTATAAGTTGCGTTCGGTTAATACATATCTGATATCTCGATTAGCTCTGTTGGCTCCGCAAGCGTTCGGTAAATACATCTACCTGCTCCGTCTGATCTGCTCCGCGTTCGTTAATTGTCAGAGGGAGCGAAAAAATTCGATCTGTTCCCTCGAAGTTGAGAAGCAGATTAGACGGATTTTTCAGTTGTCATTTGTCACATTTGTTTACAGTGTTCAAAGTAATTGTTATTTTTTAAATAAATCCAGAAATGAGCGAAGTTGCAGTTGGAAGTATCTTGTACATATGCAATATGTGCGATCATAACTGTGGGGATCCACAGTTGATGATCCATCACATGAACTTGAACCATTCATTTTCAAGTAAGTTTCATTCCCATGTGTATTTGATTTTCTTTTATTTTTATCTATAATTCGCAAATAAATTTATTGGCCTTTGTTATTTTGTAGATGAAAGTGACGCCCTTAAAGCAGTTACTGCATATACAGTCAAAGAGGTATCGGAAGCCAATACTGCACCTTCCTCATCTGCTTCTGCGACACAATTAGATAATATAGATAAAAAAGTGTGGACTAGGGAAGCAACTCTTATATTTATTCAGTTGGTTGAGGAAAATGACGAAAATTTCCAAAAATCAATTAAAAAGCATATTTGGGCAAAGATAGCCAGTTCTTTGAACAAGCAAATGAACGTGGGTGTAACATGGCAACAATGCGACACCAAATGGAAGTCTTTAAAAAAAACGTATAAGGATATTAAAGATTACAACGCAACATCGGGGAAAAATAGAAGAAAATGGGAGTTTTATAATGAAATGAACAACATTTTATTCAATAAACCGGAAATTTGTGCACCAGCTACATGCAGTAGTAATGCTGGCCTTGTGATTAATGAAGACAAGGAAAACTAGAAATCTCCTCCATCCAGTAAGGAAAAACGTGAAAGCACTCCATCAACATCAGGGAGTGAAACCTTTGAGTCCTCTTTTTCAAAAAAAAGAAAACTAGTAGACAATGCAGTAGAACGTCGCCATAAGGAAAAAATTCAAAGGCAGGATAGATTTCTCAATTGTTTCGAGGATTTTGTAAATACTTACAAAAGCAAAACTAATTAGTAGTTGTAGTGCTACTTTTTTTCACTGATTTCAGTATTATTTATTTATATTTGAATATTTTTTTTTGCAGTTGATCTTATTAAGTATGGAAGGTACATATTATTTCTTTTTCTTGACCAAAAGTATTGTTAATTTATTTTCTGTTTTCATTTTATATTTTTGTAGTTTATTTATTTTATTAACCATTAGTAGTACATATTATTTATCTTTTTTGTCTTGACTGAAACTATTGTTAATTTATTTTCTGTTTTTAGTTTATATATTTGGAGTTTATCTCCTGATTGAATAAAACGTACATATTATTTATTTACTGTTTGTTTTATAGTTTTGGAGTTCCGACTGATTAACTATTAGTAGTGTTATTTATTTTCCTAGATTGGTTTGGTTTGACAGAATAAATATAAATTTATAAAACAAAGACATTTTATTTTTTATTTATTAAAGGAATCTCTGGTCTACAATTAATGAATGCATTATAAAATTTCGTTTATGTATTCCTGCCTCATTGTTTGGCTGTACAATATTTTCTGCCTCTTCATTGACATTTTCTCTCTCCTCTTCTAATTCATGCCTGGCAACAAGTTCTTCAGGTGAATCTCCCCTCAAAATGCAAAAATTGTGCAAAATGCAACCTGAGACAATAAGAAGTGCGATTAAATCCACTTTTATTGTCTCTAACGATTTCAAACGACGAAACCGTCCTTTCAAATACGCAAATGAATGTTCAATCACAACACGACATTGTGACAGTTTTAGATTGTAATTTTTTTCATAAATATTCAGTCCCCCAATGTCTTTGAAACCTATTAGTATTTTGCAGGACAATTTATATGCGAGATCTCCAATCATATGCATATTGGTCGGAATTTCGGCTGAACCATCATTTATTCTCAGACTCAAATCCGATTTAGTATATAGCCTCCAATCATGCATGGATCCTGCCTCTCCTGCATATACATCCAAAAAC